GCTGCCTCTGGTTTGTTGTTAAAGAATTAACTGTACATTTCCTGTAAAAACTCTGCTTGTTAGTTTCGTAGATTCTTTATTTTACTCAGTGGGGCACAAAAAGGGTATGCCCCCATGAAGTTATTAAATATGACTACGATTCAGCACTATTGTTGAGGTTGGGCAATAACAGTAAGTAAAATGGTAACATAATGATTCATTAATACTCCAGTAACTCATCATTATCCACTTTAAAGTCCTACATCTTCAAGTTATTCTGGAACTGTGGTTGCTGGTTTATTTCTTATTATTTACTTCAGCTGCAAAATCCAGTACAGTTAAGGTGAATGAATATGTGTTAAAGTACTGACATGTTACATTTTATTTCTGTTTTCAGTGAAAACCTGCATCACGAAATGTAGTCTTTGCCATATAGACATGAGTGCTGTGTTAACCTTCTCATCTAATTCTAGGCAATAAATAAATAATTTCCCTAAATGTTTAACTATTCCTCTAAAGGATGAGAAATTTCTATTATGTTTTATGTATGGATTATCTAAAAAATGCACGATCACAGGGCTGAAAACAGGATTACAATGTCTCTATACAGAAGCAATATCCTGGTTATATCCTGGATTATCCAAAGACTTCACGATGGAAAGTTGGCCTCAATTAAAGAAAGTTATACTTTATATGGTTTGACCATCTTTGGCTAAATCTAGCACACCTTAAGTAGCTCAAGCACTTAAAATTTACAAGTATTTTCTACATAAATACACTAAAGTCAGTCTTTTTCATGACTAAAAATGTCAGAGAATTAGTACAAGTTGGACTGCAGGACTGGTGTTGTTACTCTTACTCAAGTAATGTATTTGTGTACTTTCTTGAACTGGATTTCACATAAATCATGTGCATGAAGCTGCAGTTCAGAGGTCATAAAACACCATCATTCAATTCTCTGTGAAGACATTTTCCCATGAGCTCCTTCTGTGAGTTTTTATTTTAATTTAGGAGCACAGGAAAGAAAGTTAGAAGAAGAAACTGTGGAAAAAACCAGATGACTCCAGTCCCCGCTTTGAATCCCTCACTGGAGAGCTCTGACATGTGTTCTGCAGTTTTTCAGCTCGCATGAGTTTATTTTTAGCTGTATGCGCTAAGAAAACGTCAGGAAGTAGAACTCCTACCACTGTACTGTTGACTCTACCTCCCATCATGCTTCATTTAATCCTTTATTCAGATACTGTAATAGTATTGTGTGTCCCGAATAGGAAGGCCTTATAGGATGACAACGGCTGGTATAGAAACACCTGTTGTTTGAATGTCTTGGTTATTGTAATGAGATGAACCATGACTGAGGGTGTTTACGCAGCGTCCAGCAGCACATTGCTGCCGTCAGTGGGGATGAACCTTGAAACTCCCAGAGTGCTTTAGCTTGTTGTTGTTTTCACAAAGTTGTATTCACCTTAAAGAAAAGGATTGGATTTTTCACGCACTGAAAGATTTGTTGGGCGTTGTTATCATTCCTCTTGTCTTTACTGGCCGTGAAGTGCTGACTCCATAAGTTTGTTAAAGATAAGGAACAAACAGACCTCATTTTGTGCCCGTAAACACAATGAAATAGCAGCATAGCATCTTGTAGGTTTATGCCACACTGTGTGAGATCTGTATATCAGTTTTTTGAGGAAGGGGAATGCAGTGAAGGCCTGGTGAACTGTAGCAAAAAATGTGCAAGTACAGACAAGTCATCAACCCGCATCATCCATCTGCATCGCTGTCATGTTTGGAAATGCAAATATATATATATATATATATATATATATATATATAAAAACTTAATTCAAATGTCGGCCATTGTCTCCAGCATAATTTTATGTCATATTGTGATTGAATGGTTTGCAGTCGTGGGCTGCATATGGCGTATTTAAGGTGTCATTATGCTTTAACTGAGGTGGTTGTCTGACACTGTGAGGGGGGCTGCGTCCATCAATTTCTATCACTTTTCGAAAACCAAGCACGTTGACTTCATACAGCGATTAGCCACCTGTGCAGAGAAAGTAAGCAGGGTTTGAACTTCTCTCGACCATAATTATCTCACTTTTCGCCGTGCCGTCCAGGACAGATTGTCTGTATAAGTATGCACTATTATCTCCATATTTAAACAATTATGATGTCTTACCCCTGTTTATGACACCTGGCTTTTCACCCCGCCTTCAAGCGTGGTTGTCTGGAACAGCTATAAACATCCTTACCCCCAGATGTGGTCACACAAACTACTTCATTTTGAGCATACCAACACCTTTATCTGGCTTTTGTATTTGGTCACCGAAAAGCTCTTGACTGGCCTTCAATGGATGTGTGCCAGAGAGATATCTAGGTCTTCAGTTATGGACTGACAATGAATGGATGTCTTTCATCTGTGACAGCCCAAAATCACTCTGTATATAAGGCCTTCATGTGCCACTGAAGCTAAGACTGAGACTTCAACTGTCTGAGATATTTAAATGAAGTGGCGGGGAAACACCGTTAATGAAGGAATTTTGTACAGAAAACAGTGACGCTTGATAGATACCCACTTGCTTTGGCTTACTGCTGAATATTACAGTGCTTTTCAGCACAAAACAATGGCTCTTACTTGGTATTCAAGTAAACTTTTATCTCTTACAAACAGTTAGGTAGGGGCATGCTGTGTCAGTTGCTGGTGGATGCACTGAGATCCAGGGAGTCCAGTTTGAGAAACAGATCCATGAGTTACATGTTAATCTTCCACAAATGAGTGCTTGAATGTTTTTGATTGGCCAACACAGCAACTTGCTGGATGACGTTGCACTGCGAGTTGAGCGAGTTTCAACCCTGAGTTTTAGTTGTTGCTGTTGTTGTTTCCCTCCGCCTCAACACCTCCACTGTGCTAATACAGTGGCCCCATTGAAGTAAATGAGCTGGCTGTGATTTTACATTGAATGTTGCACTAGAAAGGGATGATTTCATGGCCGGTATGGACAGGAGGAATGATTACAGTGATCAGTTTCCACTTACAAACAGGCATCCGGACCTATCTTTTAATATTTCTTCTTGGCGTGCACAACAACATCCAAAATGATGAGTAATTAAAGCGTATATGAGTTGAATAGAGAGACAAGATTCCTCTTCTGTCTTGCTTTTATGAATGTGAGAGTGCAAAGTGTGCTGATTTAGTACTCCCATGCACCACAAAACACAAGTGTGTGTGTGATTCAATCTGGTTTTGTCACACTGAGGAAGTGACACAGCTGCTAAGGTCAGCAGGATACAGAGAGGAAGGAGAGAGTGGGTCGTTGTCATGGCGCCCAGCTAAACAATGGAGTGAGGAGGTCGGAGAGGAGACGGCATCACACGGTCGAGACCCTTGAGGAAAAAAAATCACCTCATACCACTCAGCACACAGACACACAGACACACACACGCTGATGAAGAATATGCCCTCCAATAATGAGACACACTGGACGAATTCACACTTGACAGCTGACACCCAAAACTCACCCTGCGCTCTCACTCCATCTAACTCAGTCTTTGTTGGTAAAACGCACAAATCACACGGCATCAACACACACCGCTGACATCCCCGTCTCTCCTTCTCACTCTCCATTACTTTCATAACAACATTTATAATCATCTACATGACAATCTGTGTGGGGCTCTATAGTGAGGCTCGGGGGTGACAGGGGTTAGCGCTGAAGGGAAGCGGTGCATGCTGGGATTGCGGCCTGCTGAGAGAGTGGCATTCTGGGAGGCGGTGTCCTGCGGGCAGGGCCTCTGGGGGATGCAGTATGGTTAATAGGCCTTTCATGGCCGGCCCACAAAGCCTTTTGTCCCGAGCTAATTCATCCAGCCCTGCATGGAGAGATGGAGAGGGGGGGAGGGGCACCATGGAGGGGCTTTTTGGGGTTGGGAGTCCCCATTTTTTCTCCCCCCTCTCTCTCTCTCTCTCTCTCTTTCTCTCTCTCTACTCTACAGTGCAGGGTGGCGCTAGTGTGAGGGAGCCACATACAAACAGAGCCGTGCTCGGTAGCAACAACACCAAAACATTGGCAGAGCTTGCAAAGTGCTGGCAAACTGCAGCACAACACTGGAAAACACCCACAATTAATGACTGCTTGAAAACATCTTGAAGCTGGAACAACCTGCTGGGAATGACGTGCAAAGTCTGGGACGTGGATGTGTTATAATGTGGGTTTTTTAATTCATTGAGAAAGACAAAAAAATAAAAACGTGCCACACACAAACACAATTTCACCTGAACAAGAGCAACAGGTGTCATAAAATGCCACAGCTTGTCGGTGAATGGAGCCCTGCTCTGTTGCAGATACCCCTCAGGTACATCATGGTGGGAGTTCCTTGCATTCACAGAGGTCGAGACGCGGCCCGGCTTCCCACCAACAGACCCCACTATCAAACCCTGTGATCTGGGAATAGTCAGTTATTAATGAACTGGACAGGAACGGCTCCCCCTCGTGTGCTGATTGAAGTGGAGAAGAGAATTCCAGAGCGAGCACAGGGGGGGTTCGAGCTGTGATCACTGTGGTATGAGTATGTGTGTGTGTGTGTGTGTGCTGCACAGTCCTGACTGGGCCTGTCCAGTTCACAACAACACAACACAGCACAGCACTGCACAGCTGCACTGAAGGGCCTGCAGGCCTCAATGGACGGGGGTCAATACAAACTCTGTGGGGACCAACGCATACCAAATCAGGGGGAACAGAGGCAGGAGGAGGGGGGAGGGGGCGCACTTTTCTCCTCCAGGACACCGTAGCTTTTAAGAAATTAAGTTTAAGGAGTTTTTTCCTATTACACATACCTATATTTACTTTATAAATAGCGCTCCGGGTTCTAGTTTTACGCACAACCTCTGGAAAGTGCTCATAGGTTGCGAGTAGGGATCTGTAGTGTGGTGAAACGGCGGCGCAGTACCCAGCTCTGGGATTTTGGGAGCCAGTCCCTATTGTTCAAATCCCTCCTCCTGCTTGGGAAGTGGGAGGACCCGAAAAGGCGTCGCAAAAGGGAGAATTGTTTGAGAGCTCAGTCATCCAAAAACGGCCTTTCAATGTGAGAACTTGGGGAGCCGAAGAAAATGTCGGTGGCATCGCAGTAAATTACTAAAGCAGCGAGGCTTTAGAGGGAAAAGAGAAGTAAAAACAGTTATTTCTGGGGACTAAAACTCGGTGCAAGAAGAGAAGGCGAAGAGAAGATCGGCGGGTTTAAAACGGGGTGTGAGCACCAAATACAGCAGTTTGGGTAAGTTTTATCCCTTCATGCGGTCCATGTTTTTGCGGTGTTACGCTTCGTATCAACATGTTTTACAAAGTTATACATCAATGTACCAGCTTTTGTGCGTGTTCTCATCCGGACGGAAGTCTTTACCAACTCGTGTGTCACTTTATTTATCGAGAAAGTTGTGATTTTGGTGTTAGTTTACCACCACTATGCTGGAGACTACTATGATAGCCACATATGTTTTGTTTTCTCCGCTTATTGATTCACACAAACTTTGCTACAAACTTTCTGTACCCGCAGATCTCCTTTATTTGGATGGACATGTGCGTTTAGGCGCACGGGTTCAGATTTGCGTTTAATAAGAAAACGTTAACTTTGCTTTCGGACTTAGCCTGTTGTTGATTGGATGAGCTATGCGTCCGTATTTTCCTTAAGTTTTCCTTACTTCTCTGCCCGTATCTGCTGACTATTACAGCCCGATAAATGTATGTGGAGAGGAATCATCCTTGTGTGACACGTTGCAGAGCTTCATAGCTGTGTTTTTGAGACATACGTGTGTGTTTTTTTTTAGGGAAAGTGCGTCTGCGTTTTGAAGGCCGCAGCCTATAGTCGCTCCCCATAGGGTAGTGAGCTGTGCCAGATTTACCCCCATATTATCATCGGAGAGCGCAGCAGTGTAGGTTGGGGAGCAGAGAGTGAACATCATTGGCAAAGCGAGACAAATCAGTGATGTTCTCATCCCAGTTTCTTAATGATGCTTCTGTTGAATTTCCTTTTTATTTTATGTATATTTCTACCCTACATCCCGTATTTTCTCCACCATCCTGTTCATGCACAAACTAGTACGCGCAACCTTTATTACTGGCGCAGAGAAAAACCATAACAACGTTACCTGAGTGCGTCCCCACTCCCCTCCTTCACCCCCTAAAACCAAGCTCCTGTTGTCAGAATAAACCTAATTAAAGCCTCCAATAAACTGACAGCTGCTCGGTGCAGCCAGGAATGCAGCATCCTGCCTCTCTGTCAGGACAGTCTCTCCTGATATCATCCTCTCATTCAAGGTCTGATTTTAATGAGAAAATGTTTGTCTTAATCCCCCGGGCTGCTAATGAGTGTTGGCCGGGGTGTCACTCACCGTGGGGGCCGGGTAGAGGTACAAGACGAGGGGGGGGTACATGGACATGGAGGAGTGCCTGCATGCGGGAACAGCCGCAGGGGCTCAAGTTTCCAACCCCAGGTGTCGTTTTGTTGTTTGGATTACATTTAGCCTCCGCTGCCTCGCATGGAAGAACCTCTGCGAATCAGTGACAGACATGGCATCAGACAAGAGGGCCTGATTGTTCCCTCTGAATCAATGTCACTTGGATTAAAAGTCGAAACGAATGGCCTGGCCCCCTCCAATTAGGCGCACAGCTTATAAGGGAATTAATTGGTCTCAGTAAAAAGGAGCCTCTTGTTGTTTGGTCGCAGGTTTTGTTGTTGTTGTTGTTTTTGTTGTTGTTTTTGATCATCTCTGGCAGTCGGGTGGATCAAAGTTGGACTAATTGATTCCAGTCTGATTTCTCACACTGTTTGGCCCATTTGATTACTTATGTGGAGCCTGGAAAAACACTTATATAAGTTCATAATCAGTCTTTAAAAATCTTAAATTTCCAGTTACTGTAAGCTGTGAGCATGATATTTTAAATCCCACAGTCATACTATAGGGGATAAAACAGTAAAGTAGACTGATTTCTTTACTGGATACCACAGGCACACTCCCTCTAGGAGTATTATAATATCCTTATTTGTATTTATATATGATACTGAATGCTTTCAGGGTGCTGCTCATGGCCAAAACAACTGCCTGGACGTATAGTTTCCCTCTAATACAACAGAGATTGCCTAACATCTAGCTTTTCAAATGTTTTTTTGATCATAACTTGAATGAAAACTTGGATTTTGGACTGTTGCTCAGACCAAATAAGCAATTTGGAAGTGCTACTTCGGACTCTGAGAACGTGAGATACCATTACAGTAAAGTAGAATACCGCAGGCACACTTCAAATCCCCATAGGAGTATTATAATAGCATGTTTTTTTTCTATACAGGAGGTTTTGATAAATGAAACTCCTTTAGGCTGAAATCCCAGGCCTAAACAACTACTTCCAGCTTTTGCCTGGAAGAAGAGGGAAAAAAATTATCCTTTAAAGTCTGCTAAAATCCTAAATTTTTTTGACTTTTGGGACTGATAATGTGCATACCTGTAGGTGAAAGAGACCTCTAGGTCAGGACAGGAAACTAACTTTATTGTCTTTTGGTTACAGAGCCTGATATATGTCAGAATGTAGGAGCCATTTTAGCAGCTGGATCTTTCACAGTGAAGCGGGAACTTGAAATTATATTTGATTGATCTTGGTTACCTGCCAAACAGACATGTAGTGGAGACAAAGGCTGCCAGTTTTCCATTTGTCCAAAAGCTAGTGGATAGTTTTTCATCTAGTCTATAGGAGCTGAGTTTTCATGTGTTTATAGCTTGTAAAGAAAAGGTTACAGTGTGGATTTAGGTATGCGGCCAATAGAGTTTCTCGCTCATATCTTAGTGCCATATTGAACTGTGATGTAAAATACGAGTCAATGGATAGGATTTAACTTGTTTGACTCGCGCCTTGTGCAGCCTGGTGTGTTTTTACATCTGGATGTAAATCAAAGTCTTTTTTAGATGGAGATGGATTTCAAGATGCGTTTTAAAGATTACTAACAGCCAGCAGTTTCATGAGGACTGCTGTTGCCGATCTCGCACTTGTGAGCCAAAGTTCCCGAGATTTTACTGCGGTGCTGGAAAGCAGCATTGTTATTGTAGAGGGTGTAACATTGGCGTTAATTGACAAAGGAGAAAAAAAAATCCTTCCTGAGGGCATGCTTTCATCTCTATGACAGCGGATACACTCATGCAGTCATAACAGCCTGCAGGCAGAATCTGTGGGACTTTTGCTGCACACATATGTGTGTGTTTGTGTGCGCTCTTTGCACTGGAATGTATTGCTTGTCGTTGTGGTCCTAAACTGGCCTCACCTGTGGGCTCGTTTTGAGCTTACTGCATTAGAAGAAGGGAAGTGTGTGTGTGTGTGTGTGTGTGTGTGTGTGTGTAAGAAAGAAGATGGTAGTTTGCATTTTATAATTTCATCAAGAGGTTTTGGGTTAATGTACTTTTCATAAACTAGCAAGGAACACACTCTTCACCAAATAAGGCTGCCTCATTTCCCAGAGCCGGACATTATTGGCCTGTTGACATACGGTGCATTAGTCCTCCGGCGCTGACAGATTGGAGGCTCGGAGCTTGGGCCTCGTGCCCCTGGGAGGGTGTTCTGTGTCCAGTCAGACATCGGATAACCAGAGAGGGACACCTGGACCGGCAGGTGGCCGGGGTCCAGGCCCCTCCTCTGGGGTTGCATACCTCTCTCCTCCTGATCCTCCCTGTCAGCCAGGACCACAGAGAGAGAGAGGAGAGGGAGAAGGAGGAATGTGAGGTAAAAAAAAAGAAAAAAGGAGGGAATAGTGAAGGAGAAAGTTCTGACAGAGAGTTGGAGAGGCTAATTAAACAGGCCACGATCAAACAGAGTGAGATTGTTGAGGCTGGGATGAGGATACATTGGACAGAAGAATGAAAGCTGAGGGGAAAAAAGATTCCTGTCCTGTGTTTTTTTTTTTTTAAGGTTTCAGATAATATTTGGAAACTATATGTGGATGCCCGTCCAGTGTCTGTATCATAAATATAATCATGCCTTCATTCGTTGTCTTAGCCGCCTAATAGGGATTATCCAAAGCCTTTAAACCAGCTGAGTTGATTTGTTCCACTACTTAAAGTAAAAGTCAAGAAGCCCTTGATTGGATAATGAAGTTACCGTGGCCATACTCTCACTCTCTCCCTCTTACACACACACAAACACACACATTGTGAGGCTGGTGTGAGTGCTGTTAGATCATTGATCAACTCCAGACTCGGGTAAGAAGAGTGTGTGTGTGTGTGTGTGTGTGTGTGTGTGTGTGTGTGTGTGTGGACAAATAGCCCTGTGTGTGCTAAGCAGATATTTGGACAAAGATTAGGGGGTGTTATTACGAGCCAAAAGCAACCCAGACGCTCTAATAGATCATTCACACACAGGCACAAGATTGCATTCAGACAGGGACTGAATATAAGCCTAAAAGTCAAGTCTTTTACACATGTTTTTTATTAAAATGTCTAATTTTGGCTAGCTTTATTAGTCTTGTTCAAGGTCTATCAGTTAGTTCTTGCGCAATGTAACTCCTGTTACATGCCGTAATATTAACTGAGTTCTGTATTCTTGTCTCGAGCATGTGTGAACGAAACAATAAAAGCACGAGAAAGACAAAAACGTCAAGGAATCTGGGTTGTGTTCCAGGGCTTTAACCAATAATCAGATTTAAAGTGTTGCCCCAGAGAGAAAAAACTCATCATTGAAGAATGTCAAACTGGCAGGAGAAGACATGATTCAACAGAATAAATCACTGGGCACCAGATTAGTTAGTTATTGGGCCCCTGAGGTTATCACAACTGGAATTTTCCATCGACAGCGCTCCTCTGTCTTTTGCCCAAAGTGTGTGTGTGTGTGTGTGTGTGTGTGTGTTAGAGGTTTTATTTTATATTTCAGAGCGTAGGATAATGCACATCCGTGAGCTCTGAGTGACAGGACAAATGGTAGCTCTGCTTTACCATGTCTCTCTCACACACACACACACACATACACAAATCCAGCTTCTGACACTGAGAGCTCTCTTTGAAACAAACCTCCTCCAGCTGTTTCTCCTCTTAAGAAACTCTTTCAGACCAGCAGCAGCTTTCACTCTATAAGCGTGGAGCCAGCAGTCAAAGTCGGTTGCACCATCTCCAACACGGTTGACGCCCCACACCCTCGCTTTCTGTTTAATTTCCTGCGTCTTCTCCGTTCACTAATTCCTCCTCGTATCTGTTTTTCCAATAACCTTTCTCCTTCAGCCGTTTTCATATAACTTTACAGCCT